AGCAACATGGGCATACGGTCTTAAAAATTACGTGATACTAAAACGCTCATAACAATCAGCAATGGTCTCCTTCGCCACGCCTCGCTCTTGCCATTCAACAGGCTCCTTTCCAGAAGCAGCCATGGTCAACTCTTTTAGCTATTTCCTCTGGTATTTATCTCCACATTTTCACATAATATGTTTGTTCTCCTATTTATTGTTACCAACTTCAGATGTTTTCTGTTGACTTTCTGTTACGGTAGATGAGGATTTGACATTTTTGCACTACCTCCATGCTCTGACCACAAGTTTCAGTAAAATCAGAATTCAGTGTGTACTCCATTATGATTATGAATCATTCCAGTCTTTGCCAGGCCCTATAAAATCCTACAGGAGCTGGGCTCCCTCTTCCCCTGCCTGTCTCCCTCTCCATCACTCCTCTCCAGCATCAGTGGCCTCCCTAGTTCCTCCAACATGGGACCACGCTGAGTGTACTCCTACCCCAGGGCCTTTACACTTGTTCTTCTAGCGATCAGAATACTCTCCTCCCTGATGTTTGCCTGAAATCCTTCTTATTTCATTCATGGATCCGCCCAAATATCACCTCATCAGAGAAGTCTTTCCAGATTATCCTCCCCCTCCATCTGTTTCCCAGCTTTACTTTTCTTCACCGACTTACCACATAGACACATACACACACACACACACACACCTTGACATTATATTATATACTTATTGACGTAAATCCTGATTTTATATTTGTTGAGGGAAGGGACTTTGTTAACCACTGTGTCCCCCAGGGCCCAAGAACATGCCTGGCACATAGAAGGCTTTCAGTAAACACCTGCAGCAACTGAATGCTGAGCCTATTGATTTACTATGCTTTCATTTCATTGTTTGTACAATTCCCCCCCATAGTTAATATCTACCTTGGTTTTTCATTTAATTTGTTTTCTCTGGCACACACCCTCCAAGAGCCTTTCAATCCAATCTTTCATATAAACGTATCAGATAATCTGCTGTTTAGAATTTCCCTCTTTGGGCTGCTATAACAGAATACCATGGACTGAGTGGTATATATATATATTATATACATAATATGTATATATTTTAAGATTTTTATATATTTTTAAGATTTTGTTTATTTATTTGAGAGAGAGGGAGCATGAGCGGAGGTAGGAGCAGAGGGAGAAGGACAAGCAGACTCCCGCTGAGCGCAGAGCCCGACTGGGCTCCATCCCACGACCCTGAGATCATGACCTGAGCCAAAATCAAGAGTCAGACACTTAACTGACTGAGCCACCTAGGCGCCCCAGGCTGAGTGGTTTATAAAAACAGAAATTTATTTCTTATAGTTCTGAAGACTGGGAAATCCAAAATCAAGGTGCCAACAGATTCGGTGTCTGGCCAGAGACCACTTCCTCATTCGTAGAAGACTATCTTCTCTCTGGGTCTTCACATGGTGGAAGGGTGAGGGAGCTCTCTGGGATCTCTAAGGACACTAATCCCATTCACGGGGACTCCACCTATTATTATTCTTGGGACCTCATCACCTGCCAAAGGCCTTGCCTCCAAATACCATCCATTAGGGATTCGGGCTTCAACACACGAATTTCAGAGTACACAATATTCAACGCATAACACCAGATTCACCAATTGTTACACTTTACCCCATTTGCTTTATCATCCTTTTTCCTTATACGTTTATATTGATGCATTTTTCTTCTGATTCCTCTGTAAACTAGAGGCACTATGCTCCTTTTACCCCTAAATCCCCAGGACCTGGGCTTGCCCACAGCCTGTTGGCATCCTGGTGTTTTCACCAAGTGTATCACGTGAGTATACTTCCGAAGAACAAGGGCATTCTCTTACAGTACAATTGTCCATCTGTTTTTTTAAGAAGGTAAAAAAGCAATGGAAAAAGAAAGAATGAAGGAGACTGAGTGGCCCCAGTCTTTCCTGTGAAAGACTGAGCGAAGGCCGGGGTAACACAAAAGGTCCCAGATGCCTGGAAGATAAAGCTTCTGAAAGGATATAGCTGAGGGTGGGCCCCCTGAGAACGACAGGCCTCAGGCACCGGATCAGTGGGGCAGGGTGAAAACGGGCAGCACTTCCTGAAGCTCCCTGCCAAGGATATGAAGAAAATCCACTCAGAGGGCCTTTGCCAGAAGCTGCTCAGCAGGAGGCTAATGGATTCTGGGTCAGCACAGGGAGCTCAGGTCCCAGAGGACTTCTGGGCTGAGAGGACTGAAATCCCGAAGGGCCTTGCAAGGAAGTGTTTCTTTGAAGAAGCCAAGTTAACTAAGAGAGGATGCCTCTGGCCACTGGAGGCGTTGGAGGTCAGCTCCTTGTAGTCTCTGGGAAAAGACAGTCATGCTAGTAGGTCCTTCTGCCCAATAAAGAAGAGTCATGTAAGGCCTTGACCTTCTAGAAAACCTGCTTGATGGTACAAATTATGCAGGAGTGGGACAGCAGGAGAGTAAGAACTCTCAAAAACCCAAACAGATAAACAAAATGCGGTATACACATACAGTGGAATATTATGCAGCTTAAAAAGGGAGAATATTTGGGTGCCTGGGTGGCCCAGCCGGTTGAGCATCCAACTCTGGATTTCTGCTCAGGTCACGATCCCAGGGTCCTGAGACTGAGCCCCGTGTTGGGCTCCACACTGGGCGTGGAGCCTGCTTGAGCTTCTCCCTCTCTCTCTGCCTCTGCCCCTCCCCCTCTTAAATAAAAAGGAAAAATAAATAAAAAGAACATTCTGACACATGCTACAACATGGATGAACTTTAAGGATATTATGCTTAGTAAAATAAGTCAGTCACAAAAGGACACATACTGTATGATCCCACTTCTTTGAGGTACTTAGAGTGGTCACATTCATAGAAACAGAAAGTAGAATGGTAGTTGCCAGGGCCTGGCAGGAAGAGGGGAGGAGGAGGTAGCGTTTAAAGGGGACAGTCTCCGTTGTGTAACGTGAAGAGTTCCGGGTCTGGATGGTGGTGACAGTAACACAGCACATGAATGGACTCAGTGCCAATGAGCTGTGCACTTAAACACGGTTAAGCTACAAACTGTACATTACATGTACCTTCTGAATGTTGGACCATGTCAATGTACTATCTAAAACACTAAAAACCCGGGCGCCTGGGTGGCTCAGTTGGTTAAGCGACTGCCTTCGGCTCAGGTCATGATCCTGTAGTCCCAGGATCGAGCCCCACATCGGGCTCCCTGCTCAGCGGGGAGTCTGCTTCTCCCTCTGACCCTCCCCCCTCTCGTGTTCTCTCTCTCATTCTCTCTCTCAAATAAATAAATAAAATCTTAAAAAAAATAAAATAAAAAATAAATAAAACAAAACACTAAAAACCCAAAGTCTTGTCTTCTACGTGAATTCTTTTCTGACTACCCTAGGGAAGAGTGAGGCCTTTTCTGTCTGGCTTCCTGTTCACTAGGTCAGGCATTTAGTGATCTTCCTGATGGTGCTGATCCCCCTTCTCTGTGTAAATGTCTGGCTCTCTCCCCGGGGCCTTAGCACCTCAAGGGAAAGGACTGTGTCTCCCACAGTCCCCACAACAGGGCCTTGCAGGTATGATGTTCAATGTTGGATGACTCGTTACTTAAACAAGAATTAGATACCAGAAAACCACAATTGAAGAAGAGTTGAATGAAGCTGAAGAAGAACATAGAGCATCTTGTTTGGCAAATGAAAACATCAAATTATTTTAAGAACTTGAAGGTGTTTAACAACTTGTGTTAGTTGAGTCTCTTTAGACTGAGTTGTAGGAAAAAAAAAACCGCTAAAATTAGAGTAAGTGAAGAAGAGGAAAAGAGGGGGAGGGAAGAGAGAAAGAGAAGGAGCAAATGATGAAGTTGTTCTTGACACACATAACCTCTTGGATTCAGGCGAGATTGGATTCAGGCACTCCTTCACATCATTCTCCATCTCTCGGCCCTGCTTTCCCTGGGACTGGAGGATTCCCAGGCAGCTCTTACCCTCGGTAGCAGAGAAGGCTACTCTGGCAGCTCCCGACTGGTTTGATTCTTATACCGTACAATCTCAGAGAAAAGAGAGGACTTCATTTCTGCTCTCTTTAGCGAAAAGCCCATGGATGCTTTCCTTTGACCCAGCTTGTGACCTCTCCTCTGAATTAATCAGTGTGGACTTGGATTGGAAGACTCTGTGCCCTGTCTTGGAATTACAAGGTTATGAGATGCTAGCACAGTTCCTGAGAAAGAGGCACCTTCATCTCTTGGTGGGGAGAGTGTAAACTGGAACAACGTGTCAGGGAATTTGTCAGTATCTGGTCGAGGAAACCCCTCGACTTCACATTTCCACTTCAGGAAATTTATCCCACAATTACAGTCACAGGTAAAATGCCATTCACATAAGATTACTTTTTGTAGTATTATTTATAATAGCGAAAGACTAAAAACAAACAAAATGTCCCTCACCAAGCTAATTAAATGATGATGCATATATGTAATAGAACACTATGCAGCCATAAGAAGGATAGGGAATATCTTTTGCATTATTACAGGAAAATATTTAAGATATGTTGTTAAGTTTAAAAAAGCAAGGTGCAGAGGAGTGTATAGAAATACTATCATTGTAAAAAAAGTGAAAAATATATTTTCATGGTAGCTTATACATGCATTAAAAATATCTGAAAGAAAGATAAGAAACTAATGGCACTAGTTACCTCTTAGGGTAGATGGAAATTAAATAAATGGGTCAACATCTGCATAACTTTGTATACATGTTAATGTTTGAGCCACAAATATATATGACATACTCAAAAACTTGAAAAAAAAATGTAAAATTAAGTGGTTGATACCTCCCACCTCTGGGCACATGGCGCTAGAAGCTGTGAGGTGCGTGTGCCCCCACCCCTGCCGCTCCCCTGCCGCTCCCCTGCCAGCTGTCCCTGTCTGCTGCTGTGGCCTGCGATGGGGTGGGGAGGGGGGGGAAGGGGGTGCTGAGGGCCAGGCCATCCAAACACTGTGCTCACGGTCCACTCCGCTCTCCGTGCGCAAATTCACAGCCGAACACGAATGGATAACAACAGAAAATGGTATTAGAACAATGGGAATCAGTAATTTTGCACAGCAACTTTGTACAGAAGTTGTTTACTGTAGTCTGCCTAAAGTTGGGACAAAATGGAGCAAACAAGATGAGTTTGGTGCTTTGGAAAGTGTGAAAGCTGCTAGTGAACTCTCTTCTCTATCAGGAGAAGTAACTGAAATTAATGAAGCTCTTGTAGAAAAACCAGGACTTGTCCTCAAATCTTGTTATGAAGATGGTTGGCTGACCAAGATAACACTCAGTCATCCTTCAGAACTGGATGAATGAATGAGTGAAGAAGCATATGAGAAGTACATAAAATCTATTGAGGAGTGAAAATGGAACCCCTAAATAAACCAATATGAAACAAAACACAACAAAACAAAGGGGCTGATACTTCCCTCCAAAGATACTAACCAAAGTTGAATTCCACGTGTCATATCCTAGTACATTTAAATGATGAAACGTATGCTGTTTTTGGAATCTAAATATTATTTGTATATAAAATGCTTTGTAGACAAATACATTTCTAATAAAGCATTCTAACCTTTGTTGGAATAATTTTAAAAGATTATACTCAAAGCTTAGTGCCTTAAACAGTTGGCACCAAGCACCTCAGTGGAGAATTATTTTGAGGCTTGCTGGATTTGACCCCCGCACTCCTTACTCTATAATAATCTATAGAACTAAAAAAAAAATTAAGTGGCTGATGGTTTTGAATGTTTGTTTTTAAAAAGAAAAACAGACAACTTTGAAATTAAAGCAAATAAAATAATACATTTTATAATTTATATATATTTATAATGAATGCCCCTAAACTTTCCCTTTCTCCCTCTGTCTTTCATGAATTAAAAAATCTGTGAAGTTCATTGGCACAGAATAGAGAGCCCAAATCCAGAAACAGTCTCACATATATACAATCACTTGTTTTAGGGGCACCTGGGTGGCTCAGTCAGTTAAGCGTCTGCCTTTGGCTCAGGTCATGATCCCAAGGTCCTGGGATCGAGCCCCGCATCGGGCTCCCTGCTGTTTGGGAGCCTGCTTCTCCCTCTGCCTCTCTCTCTCTCATCAATAAATAAATAAAAATCTTTAAAATAAAATAAAATAAAATAAATCTTAAAAAACAAAACAAAACAAAAAACCCAATCACTTGTTTTATGTGTTGGCAAAGCAGAATAGTGTAGAAAGGACAGTCATCAATAAATGATGCTGGGTCCAGTGAATATCCTTACGTTCAAAAAAAAAAAGCAGCTTGACCTTTACTTCACATCATAACACAAATATATATTCCATGTACATGATAGATTAATGTGAAAATTTAAATAATACAATTTCAAGAAGATAATAGAGGAAACTACCTTCATGATCTTAGGGTAGGCAAAGATCTCTTAAACAGGACACACAAAGCACTAACCATTAAGAGAAAAAATTTATTTTGGGGCACCTGGTGGCTCAGTCGTTAAGCGTCTGCCTTCGGTTCAGGTCATGAGCCCCACATCTGGCTCCCTGCTCGGCGGGAAGCCTGCTTCTCCCTCTCCCACTGCCCCCCCTGCTTGTGTTCCCTCTCTCGCTGTGTCTCTCTCTGTCAAATAAATAGATAAAATCTTTAAAAAAAGAAAAATTTTATTTTGTTTATCAAAATTCACCACGAAGAGAGTGAAGTGACAATCACAGAGTGGGAGAACATATATGCAGGATATATAATCCACAAAGGACTGGCATCCAGAATACATAAACGACTCCTACAAATCAATAAGAAAAAGATACAATTTGATAGAATACTGAGCAAAAGTCTTCAGCAGACATTTCATAAGATATACAGATGGTCAATAAGATGAAAAAAGGTGCTTAATCTCTTTAGTCAAGAAGGAAAGACAAATCGAAACCATCACGGGATACCACACCTGCCCACCAGAATGGCAACAATTAGACAACACCAAGTACTGACAAAGACCAACTACAACTTTCACACGCTGCTGGTGGTGGGTGGAAATTGGTATGACCTCCTTAGAAAACAGAGAATATTTACTAAAACTGAACATAACACCTACCCAATGATCTAGAACTCCCCCATTCCTGGGTATTTCCTTAATAGAACTGCGTATCTATACGGGCATCCAGAGACACGCACAAGAATATACAAACATTATTAATAATAACACCAAACTGGAAACATCTCAAATACCCAGAAGGTACAATACACAAACTGTGGTATAGTCGTAAACTGTGGGAAGGAGCTATACTTTACATGTGACATGGTTAATCTCACAAACTATGCTGAACAAAAGAACCGGGACACAAAAGAATTCATAATGCAAATTTCCATTTACATAAACTTCAGAAACAGCCAAACGAATCTATGACATTAGAAATCAGGCTGATGGTTGCCTTTGGGGAGGACTGGGTGGTAATGACTGGGAGGGGGCATGAGGTGGGATTCTGGGGTACTGGGGATGTTCTAGCTCTCCAACAGGATGACTGTTACACAGGTGAGTTGACTGAAATTTCACTGAGCTCTTTATGTCCAATTTTTGCACTTTTATATTACATGTCATTTAAAAATTTATTAAAAATACACTTAATCTATGAGGAGACCCTGCTTAACAACCAGTGGCTGACAAAATTTTGCAGTTGTTTTCTGAGTCTTCTTTTCCTATTGTGGAAGTTTCAAATTAAATAAGCAGACAGCTGAATATCAAAGCAGCTCTTCTTTAATTAGATCTTGTGTTGTCTGCTTCTGCGAACTTTCTTCTAAAATATTGTATTCATTATGAAAATAATGTAAATTTCAAACAAAATTTTGAAAAACAGAAACCAACAAAACCCCTAACCTATCTTATCAATTTATATACAAATTACTTTATAATTTTAATACATGTTCTTCTCATCTTTTTTCCTTCACAAACATTTAGCTGGTCTTAAATTCAGTGAGACAATTTTTTCTCATTCAGAGTTTTAGTCACTTTCTTTATAATCTAAAAATATATTTAAATTTTATATTTACCCAGCATTTAAGGTCATCTCTAAAATACTCAGCAATGTGAATGTATGTCAAGTAAAAATACAAAGTAAACTTCACCTAGCTGTTCAAAAAATAGCATAACAATATATCTTGAATTCCAAATACCTCAAAGCAGTTTATACTCTTATTTGCATAAAAGGGACAATGTTTTATTTGCTCTACTCTTTTGGTACAAAAAACATGACACATGGTCAATTGATAATGGGGCCACAACTACATTGCAGGTTTTCCTGTCCTGCTCCTGCATAACAGTGGGCCTGGTCACCAAAATATCAAATATCCAACTTAAAGAACTCTACCTCATGTAACTCTTCCAGTCTCTGCTCTCCAAATACATCAAATGACTGGCTATTTAGATAATATAAATACACTGCTAAAACGTTGTCTTTAGGTTCATGCTTAAAAACACCTTATAGATGGGGCAATTCTTTTTTCAAATCTTCCTCTATCATAGAAGTAATACATCATAATGAATATACCTAGAGGTACTAGTTGGGTACCTCTGAAAGCAATCTTGTGGCCAAGGATTACAGGGCGAGACTTTTATTTGGGAAGTGATCCCAGGAAGCCCTGTTGGAAATGGGCAAGTGAGACGGGGAAGGGAAGGAAGGCAACAGAAGGTATGTGATACAACAGGTGCCTGTTGTGGGCATCGAGGCTGGATCCCACAGAAGAACTCTGGGAAACAGTATAGAACATGCCTCACGGGGTCCCAACCAAGGAGTGAGGAAGCTGGGGTTCTTATCCTCCAGCTCCCACCCATTTGCTGATGGAGGGCTATTGTTGGGGGTCTAACTCCCTATGATTTCTGGCCCATCCTTAGCTGGAGCAGGGCCAAGAGAGCCAATATGTATACATTGTTATTAATGTTGGGGACTTTTCAGTTGCTGCTTCAGCTCTTTTTTCTCCTTCTGGTATTTCATTGATGTGTACATTCCACCTTTTGTAATAGTCCCACGGTTCTTGGATATCCTGTTCTGTGGTTTTTTTTTTTTTTTCCAATATTTTTTTCTCTTTGCATTTCAGTTTTGGACATTTCTATTGAACTATATCTTCAAGCTCACTAATTCTTTCCACATCTGTGTCCAGTGTACTATCTACTCTATCAAAGCCATTCATTTTCATAAGGGTGTTTTTGATTTCTAGCATTTCTTTTTGATTGTTTCTTAGAATTTCCATCTCTCTGCTTACATTACTTATTTGTTTTTACATGTTGTCTATTTTTGCCATGAGAGTCCTTAACATAGTAATCATAGTTATTTTAAATTCTGGTCTGGAAATTCTAGTATCCTTGCCATATCTGAGTCTGGTTCTGATGCTTGAGTTGTGGGGGACAGGGGAAATATTATAAAGCATGATGATTAGATCTCAGTGTTTTAGTGAGCCTGTGCTCCTGGGCTGTGACCTTTATGAGTGCTACTTAATCTCTTCACCCTCCCTTTAGGTGAGACAGAAAGGCTAGAGGGGGCTAGAGTTCAGTATTTTCTTTTCCTCAGGTCAGTTAGGCTCTGGTGAAATAGTTTGTCTTAAGGGCAGGCCTTGTTGGGAGAAGAAAATATTCTGGGCAAATTTAAAAATGGCACCCCACCCCCCAACACACACCCCCAAAAGCATGAGGGAATTTCCCCCCCCTTTTTTTTAAGTAGGCTCCACACCCAGCATGGAGCCCAACGCGGGGCTTGAACTCACAACCCTGAGATCAAGACCTGGCGATCAAGACCTGAGCTGAGATCAGGGGTCAAATGCTTAGGAGCGCCTGGGTGGCTCAGTCGTCAAGCGCGTCTGCCTTCAGCTCAGGTCATGATCCCAGGATCCTGGGATCTCGCGTTGTCTCTCTCTGTCAAATAAATAAATAAAATCTTAAAAAAAAAAAAAAAAAGAGTCAAATGCTTAGCCAACTGAGCGACCCAGGCGCCCCACTTCTTATTTTCAATGTGAGAATCTGGTGGAGGTAAAATACACAAAAACATGAGAATCCCTAATACTAATACTGGGCCCCCTAGAGTTTTCAACTCTCAGATTTGTCCACACTGAGCCTCCAGCAATCTGTCAGTTACAGTTTAGGTTTCCCTACCACATCTTTACCAGCAACTGGTATTGCTTTTTTTTGGATTTTAGCTATTCTAATAGGTATGTAGTGGTATTTCATTATTGTTTTAATTTGCATTTCCCTAATGACATATGATGTTGAACGTTTTCATATGCTTCCCTCTCATTTTAAAATTCACTGTAAATATAGTTCACTGTTAAAGAAAATAGGATAATTTACCGTGATGTTTATAACATATATAGAAGAAAAACCTATGACAAAGATAGAAGAAAGGATAGGCATCCAGAAATGGATTTAG